TGGATGATCATCCAACAGATAACGCAACCAGGAATTTGGGAGCAGCTATAATGAGCTGCTTCCATCAGCAAGCCCCTCCCTGGAAGCCCCCATTAGGCTATATTTCTTAATTCTCACATCAACGAAGAAGAAAAATAACAGCTCTCAAAAGAAACCAGCATGGCTGCATAAAGAACACTTTGACAAATTGAATGACAAAAAGGACAAGAATTGAATTGAATTGAATTGAATTTTATTATTTGTATGCCTCCTTCTCCGGGAGGACTCAGGGCGGCGAACAATTCAAAAAGGGAAAAGGGAACATACAACGAAATACAAATAATTAAAATAAGCAAGAATCACACCAACCATACAAGTCGAGAGGGGAGGGGAACTCATCGACCCCAGGCCTGCCGGCAAAGCCAGGTTTTGACGGCTTTTCGGAAGGCCTGGAGAGAGGTGAGGGTCCGAATCCCTGCGGGGAGTTCGTTCCAAAGGGCCGGAGCTGCCACAGAGAAGGCCCTCCCCCGGGTGGTAGCCAGGTGGCATTGGCTGGTAGATGGCACCCGGAGGAGGCCAACCCTGTGGGATCTAATGGGTCTGTGGGAGGTAATTGCCCAAATTCATGTTCATTGCATCCATGACACTCTAACCCAGGGGTCAGCAACCTGTGGCTCTTCCAGCTTTCTGCTGTGGCTCGCCGTCGCCGCTTGGCTCCACAACAGATAGGGCTTTCGGTTAGGACAGGTGGAGGAAAAAGGACGCCGCGCTAGGAGGAGACTCTATGGTGGGGGAACCGGACTTCCGGTCGGCTCCAGAATTGAACGGGGGGGGGGTGGGGTTCTGGGTAGGACCTTTATGGCTCTTTTTAAGGTTGCTGACCCCTGCTCTTAACCTCTGCCATCCCCCCCCTTCCCTTTTTAGTCTTCAATCTTTCCCAACATCAGGGTCTTTTCCAGCGAGTCCTCTCTTCCCATGGCTTCCCAGTTCATCCCTGTGTGTGTTTCGGGGTCTTTTACACTGGAGGTTTTGTCATGAGACTGGCTAATTTAATTCTGATGCCCCCTAGAAAATTACTGGTGCCTAAAATTTTAGGTGCCATTTCTGTCCTTCCATTCAGTACTTTCCATTGGTTTCTTCTGCCCCAGTTCAGGATGGTGGTTTTTAAAATAAAGTTTTAAGCGTTCTCATTTTCCCCGTTACTGGCTGCAGCAGGAGGGTGACCTCTGGTGTTCCTCGGGCTGGAGCACATTTGCAGCAGCGCATTAAAATGTGGCTCACTCACCAGGGAAGCCAGGCGGATATTGATTGGCATGGAGCTGCCACTGAGAAAAGTCAGAATCATCTAGGCGATGCCCTGGCACACACACCCACCCAGGCGATCCGTTGGTCCATTTTGCCTTCCATCCGGAAGTGGGGGATGCTCGCAGTTGTGTTAAATCAGTGCTCTTACTTTGGGGACTGATGTCAACACATGGCTTATAGTGGCACCTATGGGGCAGGCCACGATTTGCTTCTCAAACCACGCTTAAAAGAAACCTCCAGGTTTGTTTTGTTTAAAAGAGACTTTATTGATTGAATGAATCTCAAGCGTTTGTACAACGTAACAAATGAGAACAAATAGGTTCGTGCTTCATGCCGAGTAAAAAGAAAAGAAACTTAGCTACTTACTCCGTGGCCGAATCCTGCCTTTGCATTACAGGTGGGAAAAAGTGGGCCTCCTTCATATTAGAGCCGAGGTGGCGCAGGGGTTAAATGCAGCACTGCGGGCTACTTCAGCAGTTCTGCAGTTCGGCTGTTCAAATCTCACCGGCTCAGGGTTGACTCAGCCTTCCATCCTTCCAAGGTGGGTAAAATGAGGACCCGGATTGTTGTTGGGGGGCGATATGCTGACTCTGTAAACCGCTTAGAGAGGGCTGAAAGCCCTATGAAGCAGTATATAAGTCTAACTGCTATTGCTATAGGTGGTTCCATGTTTTACAATTCGTGATGGCATCTATTTGTCAGTGCCGGTTTTGTATTCCTAACGACTTTTTCATGCCGCTGTTGGTAGGATTAGACAGAAAATAGGGGCGGAATCTGCCCCTTTCTCAAAACGCGCTGATGCTGAAATTCTATGTCGCCGCAGGGGGATGATGGATCCTGCAGAGCCATCCGGATCCTCCCATCATCCCAAGTCGTGGTTGTTTCCAAAGGTGCATTTTCAGGAGGCAATACATTAGTAGAGTTGGAAGGGACCTTGGAGGTCTTCTAGTCCAACCCCCTGCCTAGGCAGGAAACCCTATACCGTTTCACTAGTCGTCACTTATAAAGCCCTTCATGGTATTGGACCTGGGTACTTGAGAGACCGCCTGCTGCCAATCACCTCCACTAGACCGATTAGATCCCACAGATTAGGCCTCCTCCGAATTCCATCCGCCGGCCAATGCTGACTGGCGACTACCCGGAGGAGAGCCTTCTCTGTGGCTGCTCCGACCCTCTGGAACGAGCTCCCTGTGGAGATTCGAACCCTCACCACCCTCCAGACCTTCCGCATAGCCCTTAAAACCTGGCTGTTCCGACAGGCCTGGGGCTAAAGAGCTGTTGCCCACGTCTCAAATGGTATGACTGTTGTGTGTTTCTAAATTATGCATTGTTATGTTTCGTTTTTATTTTTTGTCTGTACCCCCCTTCCCTGATTTGAATTGTGAGCCGCCCTGAGTCCCCTTGGGGGGGGGGGAGGGCAGCATATAAATATAATCAAATCAATCAATCAATCAAATTCAGACAAATGGCCATCCAACATCTTCTTAAAGACAACTTGGACTTTGGTTTATCTTTTGAAGATGTTTCGCTTCTCCTCCAAGAAGCTTCTTCAGTTTTGAACAGGTTAGTAGTATAGTTCCATTCCCCACCTTCCTGTCAGAGTGGAAGAAGCTTCTTGGGTTAGAAGCGAAACGTCTTCAAGAAGGAAGAAAACGAGGTTCAGTTGCCCCCCGCTAAAAAAGCACCTTTGGGCCTTTGGATCTCTGTCTTTGGCCAGTCAGGTGAGGTCTTTTGGTTTGCGTTAAAGGCAGAACGGGAAAATGGCAATCCGTTTACACCGGCAGTTATCCAGAATCAAGAGCCCCTTCTCTGGGTTTCCCGCAAGTTTCCCCAAATCTCAGCCCGGCGGAAGGCAACCAGGAAGAAAACTGCCAGCGATGGGGCTCCTGCCTGGCTCCCGCTAGCGAGCGAAAGAGCGCTCCCCGTCCCTCTTCCTCCCTCTCCCCGGACGCCTCAAAGGGAAGAGACGGGGGGGAGAGGAACCGGGGATTCCCAAGCACGCGGGGCAAACGGCGTCGCCCTCCAGACTTGGGGTGGGTGGGTGGGTGGAAGCTTGGCGAGCCCTGCCTGGTTTTTTTAGGGGGTCGGAGAGAGAATCCAGCCTCCTCCTCAATTGTCACTGCGGTTCTACCTGGGTTTTCCGCCAGGAAGGACGCGTGGCGCCCCTTCCCACCACCGCCTAAGCGAGCCCCCTGCGAGGTAGGCCTGGAGGGGCACGCCCAAGCCCCACCCCACCCCCATGTGAAGCGGCGTGGGAAGGCGAGACTCGCTGCCGCTCCGGCGAGGGTTCTTTTGGGGTTCCCCCGCCGGCAGGCAGGCAAGCAAGCACAAGGCCGGCGAAACCGCGGCTTCTTTCGCAAACTCAGCGGCGGGCAGGCGATCCGCGCCATCGGGGAGCGGGGGGAAGCCTCGTCCCGGGTGCTGGCTCCCTCAGTTCTGCTGATCCCCGGAGGGCGCGCGGAGGGTTGCGAGCGAGAGCGGGATGCCCAGCCTGGCAGAGGGCAGGGTGGGGCCGCCTCGACGCCGCGCGCCTCCTGTCTCTCTCCCTGGGACGGAGCGACTGGCGGGGGCGAACGAAAAGACGCGCCACGTCGGGACAGGCGCTTCCCAGGAGCCCCGGCAGAAGCGGATAGACCGACGCCTCTCCTCCGCGGGGGAAGCCGCAGCTGAGCGCCCAGCCGCATGGGCCNAAAGGGCGGCATATAAATAAACTTCTATCTATCTATCTAACTTTCCACCCTTCTTAGCCAGGTTCTTTCATTTTAACCATTCAAGTCAAGAGATCAAACCAAGTTTGAAGGACATGCAGGCCCAGGAGTGGCCTTTTTCATGGAACTGCCCTGACGAAATGAATCAAAGAGGAATCAAAGTCTTGGACAATGTTAAGATGAATGTGCATTCAACTTTCTGGAGAACATAAGCTAAGAAGGGAGAGAGGTTTCCCGGGGAGTCTGTCGGTGTGTCTTTAGAAGTGCTGAGCAAAGAAAATTGGATTATCAAATTACCAGTCGCAGAGAAAATATTTCTCTGGGCTATTTCAGGGCTATTTCATTCAACCTTGTATCTGGAGATGTATTTGGATAGCAAAGGAAACCCTACGGGATGTGGCCTCCTAAAGGCCAACAAACTTCCAGGGATGGAGATTTCAACCAGGAAATGTCCTTCTGAGGAAGAGTAGAAGAAGCAGACTCCTGGAAGAGCAAGGTCAAAATAGGTCTCCCCGCCATGAAGAACCTCTGAATGCCATCTTCAGATGGCAGTTTGTCCTGGCAGCTGTGGGCAAGTGGCTTAGCTCCTGGCATCTTCCGCTCAAAGGAAGGGTGACATGTTGGCATTGACATCAGCAGAAGAAGCAGACTCACCTGACCGCCCAAGCAAAGGGCATACGGTATCGTCCAAGACGGCTACATACCACCTTGGCCAACTTGTGGACCTTCTGCGCCGTCTGTGGCGGAAGGAAAAGAGAACAGATGTCGACAGCTGGTTGGTTGAAGTTGGAAGATGAAAGAGATTCAGGAGTGGTGGCAGGGAGGGCAGGTGGAGAAGCCAATCTCAGAGAAATCAGGTGAGGCAAGTTCTGAGAAAGGGGGAAGTGAGGTTCCCTCACCAAGATAAACCCATAAATGCTCTAGGGAAGCACCGAGAACATCTGAAGCATCTCCAACTGCTCACCTTCACCTTGGTCTACCCAGGAAGAGGACAAGTGGGCAAAAGGAAGCTTGGTAAATAAATTCTGCCCACCCACCCCCAAATCCCTATCCCCAATCCAAGAGACACTGCATATCTTGTCCATGTTCAACAATCTCTTCATAACTTGACCTAGGAGTCACAATATTTAGGAGGAACATCCGTAACATATATTCACACACTGCGCTAAGATATGGCTTGTGTGAACTCGGTACGCCAGCTCAATCCCACTGATTTGTAAACCATAGCTGGGTACAACTTCATAACCCAACCAGCCATGGTTTCCTCTTATGGGTTCAACCACTGTTGTTATCTCAGCAGGATGTTTTCTGCCCTTCATGATGTAACCCAAACAGGAAGAGCTTTATGGGATGGGAGGTCCCGCCTTAAGACACTCGGTGCCTTCTTTCTCATCCCAAAGCACGGCCAGCCCATCCCACGGAATCCGATGTACCTTTGCAGGATCTGAGTTCTTGACGTAGGGCTCCACGCTGTGGGCAATGCTCCCTTGAAGCACTTTCTCCACCCGGGCAACGAGAAAAATTTCCGGGTGTGGGTTGGTCACAGAGAAGACCCCCTTGGTGTAAAAAGAGAAGCGAGCAGAGCATCAGAACTTAAAGGTAAAGGTTCCCCTCGCAGATAGGTGCTAGCCGTTCCCGAGACTCTAGGGGGCGGTGCTCATCTCCGTTTCAAAGCCGAAGAGCCAGCGCTGTCCGAAGACGTCTCCGTAGTCATGTGGCCGGCATGACTCAACGCCAAAGGCACACGGAACACTGTTACCTTCCCACCAAAGGTGGTTCCTATTTCTACTTACATTTTTTTAAATTGAAAATTTTGGAAAAAAAAAAACTTTTACAAATGTTACAAGTGGTTAGAGTGCAGTGCTGCAGGCTACTTCAGCTGACTGCTAGTTCGGCAGTTCGACTGTTCAAATCTGACCGGCTCAGGGTTGACTCAGCCTTCCATTCTTCTGAGGTGGATAAAATGAGGACCCGGATTGTTGGGGGAAATATGCGGAGTCTGTAAACCGCTTAGAGAGGACTGAAAGCCCTATGAAGCGGTATATAAGTCTAACTGCTATTGCTATGGCTAATAAAGAATTCAATATCTAAATAGTAGATTGCTCCTTGCTAGGTTTAATCTCGCTCCTATTTCCTTTGGAGGCTTCCTTCCTCTTCAATCTGAGGCAGGGCGGACTCCACAGAACTTCTCACCTGCTTTATGTAGCGCAAGCTGGACTCAGCCATGCCGTGGAGGGAAGGGCTGTTGATGGGGCTGTTTCCAAGTTGTTGGTCGGAAGAGTCGCGCAGCATCTCCCGCACGGGCCCAGAATTTAAGTCCACGTGGAAATCTGCTGAGATCTTGCAGCAGTTTTTCAGATCGAAGAGAGCCAGGCTGAGGAAGAACGGCTCTACCTGGGGACACAGCAAGAAGATATCTGAGGTTGACCTCAATTGGACGCTCTACGGAAGGGAAGGTTGGGTTTTCAAGGAAAACGATGGGTTGCTTTGAACTTTTGGCATTGGAAGAAGCTCTTGAGAACAGGGGTTGACCTGACCTGATCCTACTTTGGACACATGATATGAAGACCCAGCTGGGTGGAGAAGGCTGCTCTGCTGGGAAAGGTGGAAGGGGTGGGAAGAAAGAGTAGCAGCAAAGTGGAGGGACTGAGTTGCAACAGGGATGAGTGCATTGGAAGATCTGAAGGACCAAAGTTGGGGCCAGAGCATCTGGGTGAAAATCTATCTGTGTGGTTGTGAAGAGTCAAGAATGACTTGTTGGCATGTAGTCCATCCAAGGGCCAAAAGTGGGACTGCCTGGGAGGGGGGCATCTTCTAGAAAACTGGTGGGCTTCCACATGCTGTTGGTTGGCCAGTAGAAGAACATCTACTAGACTAGATAGCCCAGGGCTTCATCCAGCAAGACATGACATGTTCTTATGACACGTTGGAAGGATCAGGAAACTGTTTGGGAGAGAGTAAATAACAATTTGGAGAAAGCTCTGGCAAAAAAAAACACCTATATATGGGGGTCTGCCCTACATTGGAAGGGGGGTCCTTGGAGCTGTCATTCAGCTGGGCCAGGAGGTTGAAGGTCAGGGTGTGGCAATTCAGCAGGAAGCGTGGCCGGCCCCTTTCCTCAAAGGGTTGGATGTCCACCTCAAGTCCGGAGAAATCGAGCCGCTAGAAGAGAAAAAGGCAATTGATTTTTTTTTTCTGGAGAGAGGTTGAAAAAAGTATTTTGTGATTATCATGTTTGGAAAGGAAGGGCAGATGGTACATATTTCAAAATTATCTTCCTTCCTTCCCTCTCTACTTCTCCTTCCTTCCTTCCCTCCCTTTCTTCTTCCTTCTTTCCTTTTCCTTCCTTCCTCCATCCCTCTTCGTTTCTGCTTCTCCTTCCTTCCTTTCCTTCCTTCCCTCTGCTTCTTTCCTCCCTCTCTCCCTGCGTCTCCTTCCTTCCTACCTACCCTTTCTCCTTCCTCCTTTCCTTTTCCTCCCTCCTTCCCTCTTTGCTTCTCCTCCACCTTCCTTCCCTCCCTTTCTCCTTCCTCCTTTCCTTTTCCTCCCTCCCTCCCTCTTTGCTTCTCCTCCTCCTTCCTTCCCTCCCTTTCTCCTTCCTTCTTTCCTTTTCCTTCCTTCCTTCCCCCTCCCTCTTTGCTTCTCCTTCCTTCCATTTCTCCTTCCTTATTTCCTTCCTTCCTTTCCTTCCCTCTCTGCTTCCTCCCTCCTTCACTTTGCTTCTCCTTCCTTCCTTCCCTCTCTTTCTTCTTCCTTCTTTCCTTTTCCTTCCTTCCTCCATCCTTCTTCGTTTCTGCTTCTCCTTTCTTCCTTTCCTTCCCTCCCTCTGCTTGTTTCCTCCCTCTCTCCCTGAATCTCCTTCCTTCCTACCTACCCTTTCTCCTTATTTCCTTTTCCTCCCTCCCTCCCTCTTTGCTTCTCCTTCCTTCCATTTCTCCTTCTTTCCTTCCTTCCTTTCCTTCCCTCTGCTTCCTTCCTCCCTCCCTTTGCTTCTCCTTCCTTCCATTTCTCCTTCTTTCCTTCCTTCCTTTCCTTCCCTCTTCTTCCTTCCTCCCTCCCTTTGCTTCTCCTTCCTTCCATTTCTCCTTCTTTCCTTCCTTCCTTTCCTTCCCTCTTCTTCCTTCCTCCCTCCCTTTGCTTCTCCTTCCTTCCATTTCTCCTTCTTTCCTTCCTTCCTTCCCTTTTCCTTCCTTCTTTCCTCCCTCT